AGTCCTGACAATGCACCATCGATATCACCATTGTCTTCAGGCCATCAGAAAGAGCTAGTCTCTAGTATGATAACGGTAAGCCTGTGTGACTCTGGTGTTACATTGCCCACATATGTCCCTCCGGTTTCCATAGCATAAGTTCCTCAGGTTGCAAAGCCTAGAGCTACTCGAGCTATTCCCACTTCAACAAGTTCCCAAACTGATCGACCATCATCATCAAGAAAGAAAGCTTCAAAGACAAAAGAAAGTGAGCTCCAAGAGAAAGCTGCTGATCTGATATTGCTAAAATGGATCCAAGGCAACGAGAAAGATGAACTTCAGAAGCTAAACAACACAGATGCTCTCGATAGGTTGAACTTCATTAGAGAAATCAAGAAAACAACTGCTGAAAAGTTAATGGAACTTGATGATGAAGAGTATGCTCAAGGAGAATTCTACGATGAACCTCTCACTGATTTTCATATAGTCAAAGATCTAATCAAGAGACGCCCTGGTGATTCCAATGTTGAAAACTGGCTTGGAACACCTTGGGAAAATGTCAAGATCATCGTGCCATATCAAGAAGATTTGCGACCAAGAATCTGAAGAACTGAGAAAGCTATCAAAAAGATTGACGAGCTAAAATTGAGGGGACTTGAACACTTGAAAGGAACAGATGCCTCCGTTTACCTTTGGATGCTAAGGAATATGTCTGCTGATCAGAATGATCCATACGGTCACAGAAAGAGATTGGTCAAACATGCTGATTCGCCGATCATTGCTATAAAATCCGTAGAAATTCATCATATTGGAAAAGAAACTTTCTATCCAATCTATGAGTTTGAAAGGAAAAACGACATGATTCAAAGAGCTTCAGAAGCGGATCTGTACTACATCACTGAGGAAGATCTTATTCAGCTATTCTACTACTGCAGATTTGTCAAGTTCACATCTCAAAAAGACAAAGATCTAGGGCTGAATGCACTCAAGAGGTTCATGATGCGACAAGTCAAATACTACAGCGTTTTTGATCTACAAATGGCCATTGAGAGCAATCAAACAAATGTGAACATGACTGGCCCGAGAAATAGAGCTGATTGGGTCGAGAATCTTGAAGAAGGCACCATCGTAACAGAACCAGAGATAGGCCTGATCTATAAAGATTACAAGGGCATCAAGCGAGGTCTACTCATGAGCAAAATTCACAAGTACTGCGATGGAACTCTCAAGATCATAGAAGACTATCTGGAAGAGGCCGCACAAAAACTACTTGACTCAGAAGATCCAGATAACCCGACTCAAGTTGCACTCATTGTAGATTTTGCAAAAGCCATAGAACTCGGACTTCAATTCAGAAGAGATCTCAGACATTATGAAGTCATTCTTGGCTATCGAAAGTCATTGTACAAGACTCAGAGATAAAAGGCGCTTCATCGACATTTGAACACAAAGGGGGAGATTGTTAGAATATTATTTTATTGTGTTCAAATTAATTAATGAGTATTTGTATTTAATTAAGATTAGCTGAGAGAGAAATAGACCCATTTAATCTAGCTCTAATAAGCCCACACGCCTAAGCTGTTTGTTTCCTAAATAGAATAGGCAGTTCGGATATCCCTCCTATAAATACAGGTAGGGATGGCCGAATCTGCTCTCGAAGTCTCTACATGTTCTATTCCGCATATTATTCTCTGTAGAGCCAGTAGATTAGAGTTTCTCTCTCAAGCTTGTTCGTTCGAATATCGTGTAACTGTTCTTCATGGATTCATCATTATATATACACGGTATACGTTATTGGTGAGATTTCTCTTCTACTATTTTAAATTCTTCCAATTATTATTAGATTAATCGACTATTGAAATCTGGGCATTCTACACACATATATGCAGACACTTAATTTTTTGCTTATATATAAAATGAGACTTTTGTGATGACTCGATGGGTACTCCGATGGAAAGTTTGCAGGGTAAAAAAACAAAAATACTCTTGGTACACATTTTTGGTGTACACACTTTTGCACAGTGTGTAGGCTTTTATCATTACAGACAAAACGTATTTTGACAAAAAAACCTACATACACAGACAGTGTAAAAGTGTGTACCCCAAGTCACACTCTTAAAAAAAACATACTCACACAATCAGAACGAGTGTTAAAACTGAGGTGGTCGAATAAGTCATGAAATGTCTGCGCTGATAGGTCACATTTGTAAAAAGTCATTAGTAAACATCACCATATAGCTGAATGATTAATTCACAATATCCATTAAGTTCATTAAGTCACAAGTAAGCACGCCGAAGTATTGTTTACCAAAACTGTTGGTTCAAAAACGAATGCCCATAAGCTTTTCGGGAAATCTATGACATAACACTCAGTATAAAAATAGAAAGTACAAATATGATAAGTGGAAGGCAGACTTCCAGTTGGGCCAATAGGCGGGCTCCATGTTGGACTGGAGGCAGGCTTCTGGCTGGACTGGAAGGCGAGCTTCTGGTTGGGCCGATGAGCAAACCGTCTTGGACTTTCACTCTCCTGGACTTTTGCTCTATTAGACTCACGTTCCTCGATAGACTAGATCAGTTGGGCTGACTCGAGCTCTAGTTGCTAGGCCCACTGCTTGAGTTGCCGCTCTCTGGCGACTGCTACTCTCCTTTTGTTATAACCAATGACATAATTGGAAAGTCAACCTAATTATTTATTCTACCTAGAAATTCGTGAAGTCAAATTGAGAATTTGATTTGGGAAGGGAGGGAGTAAGTAACTTGGTATGCTAAAAAGAGTACAGTTAAAAACGGTCTACAAGGTACAACTTTCGGACCCGGAATACCATTTAGGTGTAAAAGGGAGGATCACCCATCTAAATTGGGCCCACCCCCATAAAATTATTTTCGGATGGTATTATTTTCTTACAATTATGTATGGTAGATGGAGAATTGATTGGGGGCAAGGGAGTACATAAAATTATTATACCATCCCTGAAGTCTTAACTTAAATAATGTTTATATGATGGTAGAAACGCATGGGGGGTCATAGTGATGAAGTAGGGTCAGTCAGACGATCAAACGAGGCACGAAGGCTAGTAATTATAATTTACCAGATAGTAGTCCTGTAAAAGATTACGAAGACAACCAGATTAAAGTGATATTATACTAGTAAATATTTATCCTAGAGACACATATTAATTGGGAGAATGTTATATATTTTATTTGGTCCGGTAAGATGAAAGTTAACTAACACAATCCGAAAAATACAACATTTGGGACCGAAAAATACACTGGGAAATAAAGGGATGGCCTCCAACCGAAGTGGAGGTCACCCCACGAGATAATATCTCCCAAAGTCAGCCAAGGAGAGCTGAGTGAATAATTTGGGGCGTGTGAAGGGATGTGGGAGACATTACACGAGAGGAAAATCGATCCCCACATTATTTCTTAGAAAGTGACAGGAGAACTGCCCTCTCACTCACTCTCCTCATATCATTTCGACTTGTGAGAATCCAAGGGAGGGAGGGAGGTCTAGATATACCATCTCCATAGCTGGAAACCTAGCTCAAGCAGGGGGTCCAATAAGATAGTCTCGGTAAGAAAAAATGAGGAAAAGTTTGGAAAATTAAGGTAATGGTCTCATATATATTAACCCTTTATTCTTCTTATTCAAAAATTCCATACTTTGTAATAAACCATATGAAGAACCCTTGTACTTGTTTTACACGAGTAGAGGCGTGGGAAGATGAGTTGAGAGGCTAGTTTATATCCAAGAACAAATTTAGAAGTCAGTAAAGACCAGTTCGTCGGAAAGTAACCTTCTTGAGGGTTATTCTTATTATTATGGATTTTGGGGCTATGCACCTTGTCAGGGACTTGTTTAAGCTGAGAGACGACTTTGTGTCTTATAACTCGTGGGTTAAACGTGAGATTGCCTAAGATAATCAAACCCATGAATTGTGAATTGATTTAAAGGAATTAAAATATATGATTAGTGATGGTAATTGGGGATTATACGAGTATTACATGATTAATGAGATAAGAGTTGAACTTGTTGATTGATCATGAGTAAAACGATGTTAAATGTATAATAATACATGCTTGGCCTAAACTAAGCATTCAAGTCTAACTGGTTGTGAGGTTACCGTGCTTAGTGGAAGGTCTCGAGTTCGAAACCCGCTAGGCACATAATAAGGGCTTGAAACTCAATGATTTGAGTTTCAACCTGATTACTCCAGGCCCCCAACCCCTCTACCCGACACCCCCCCGGGAGTAAAAAAACTTGGCCTATGTATGAGACTACCTAAAGTAACTAAGTGAGTATGTGTTAAAATTATTTAAACATATGATTAACCATATTAATTACAAAGTAACATGGTGCAACTTTTTTAAACTAGGTAGGCAAACCACCTAAGTCAGTGGGGCAAATGTCGGGGAACATTTATCGAGTATTATTAAATGAAAAAGAGAGTACACATATAATTTGCCAATTTTGCTAGAAGCAGATATTGAAGTGTTTGGATTGAAAACTTTGAAGTACTTGTAGAAGCAATTTCTTAAAAGGTAAGAGGGATTAACTTGTGAAAACTAATTGTGATTCTATTTCTCCTTAAAAAAGAGAATCCAGACACCTCCTTATCACAAACAATCCCTTATATCGACTTAGAATGTTTTTACTTGGAGCGTTTTTCATTTTCAAATCAGACCAGACTTAAATAAATCAAATTAGACCAACTCACACCATATTAAAACAGACTGAATCAGATCAGACTTCCATATTTATAAAATACACAAAGACCCAACATTACCAGTCTAAACTTAAATAAACCAGACTAAATCAACAAATTTCAGTCAAAGTAAAATCATCATCCATTTCAAATGCTCCATACAACAAATGAACCAAGCAAAAAATAAAGGTTAATTTGAGTTTGTATTTCATTTTATTGTTCAAATTGAACTTGACATCCCATTTTTTAAAATCTTTATTTTAGCACAAATATGAACAAAAATACCCTCACACTCAAATTACCCCTCGTTTTAAAACTCAAATTTGGACAACTCATGAAAGCCACTGTGCTCATAAAACCCTACACTATCGGCACCACCAGTTTCAGATCGATCAGGGGCAGCTAGCTGATAGGCGACAGATCATGAAGGTGGTGGCTTTAGTTAGCGGCGGCAAAGACAGCTGCTATGCCATGATGAAATGCATACAGTATGGTCACGAGGTATTCTCTCCCACACCCCCTATCTCACTCATGTGTATGTATTTCGTGCTTCTAAGCTGATGGTGTCATGTACTGATAGTGCGGCTACTTATCATACCTAATTTCAGATAGTTGCGTTGGCGAATTTAATGCCTACGGATGATGTACAGGATGAGCTCGACAGCTACATGTATCAAACTGTGAGCTTCAATTTTTTCTGTTAGATACATGTTACGCGTTCGGTGAGGTAAAACGTAGCTGAAATGATTGTCATTTGTGAATTTGCTGATAACCTGGAATGGTTAATCACTTAATCAGCAGAACTAAAAAAAAAATACTCCAATCTAATTTCTCCATTTGATTTTGATCTTTCAAAATTAATGGACATTGTCCAATATATTTTCATTCTTTGTTAATACCAGAGTTTTTTGAACCAATTTGTTTTAATATATATTTTTGAAATGTTATTTTTTTAGAATTTTATTTGGTAGGTAATTGTAAATAATAACATTAACATCGGATATTGTGAGATTCAAAGTGTGAAACATATATAAGGAGAAATGTAATAATAAATTAGGCCTGTACTCATTTTTGTGCGAACTAACTACACATCTTTGTAATTTATTTAGATACTTCGTACATGTAAGCACAATGGATATGGATTAGTTTTTTTTCTTGGTTCTTTTGTTGTATTTTGAAATGCACACACTTATTTTAACACTTCCAACATTACATCTCATAATGTATAATTTAAACTAAACATGGAATAGATACCTCATTTAAAAAGTTCACAAAGTACTAATAGATACCTCATATGAAAAGTAACTCCATACATTAAACTTAAATATTGAATATGTTAAATATTGAATAGATACCTCAATAAATATCAAAACAACTGTCGTATGGATGTATTTGAATGAATCATCCATATGATTGAATGAGCTATATCAAGCTTATCAAATTACTTTTTATTACTCAAACATTTGAGACACCTAATTATTAAAGGTTTAACTGTGTAAGATGTTATGTTGCTCCAAAATGTTGTGAAAAAGTTCCACAATCAAAGAAAATCAAAGAAAACACCACAAATGAGGTACCTCTTATCATATCTCAGGGTTTAGGGTTAGTGGTGGTAGCGGTGGCGGTAACCCCTTTGACATCTTTCTTTAGGAAATAGAGTCTAATGTTTAGCATTTATGGCTTAGTTTTTATCATTTAGGTTTTAGTAATGGTGGCATGTCAGAGGTGGAAGTAAATTGGGCGGCAGCGGGTCAATTTATTTTCATTATAGTTGTTGATGGTATTTGTTATTGATAAAAAAAGATTGCATGCTTTAATGAACAACTTTTCCTTAAGGATATAATTATTGGTAAAATGCCTTAAATTAAATGAAAGAATATCTATAAATGAGGATAGAAATTAAAAAGTTGGCCTTAAAATACCCCCATAATTTTTACGCTACTTCAGTTTCACCTTATTTTCTGCCAATTTAATAAATTCAATCAAATAAGTAATCAAATATGTTAGTGTACAAAAACAACAACATCCAAACCTTGGTACCAAAAAATTTTGTCGGCTAACATAAATCGGTACATGATATCGGAGGCAAAAAGAAAATGAAGATAAGAAATATAAGGTATGCTAAAAAGATAAGATAAAGATAAATATGCTAGTGTATGGTAGAAAGTATGACGGATGAATTGGATAAGCCAAACAATAAGTTAGAAATCAAGCATGTACTTATTGTAACCAAGTCTCATTTCCTTCAATTAGTTAAATTTTGACCGCGGTTTATTCATCCAACTTGAATATGTTTATTTATAGGTGAACATGCTCATCAGTATATTGTGGTTGACATGATGGTATGGTTTTTGAAATTTTCTACAGGTCGGGCACCAGGTAGTTGTCAGCTATGCAACGTGCATGGGAAAGCCATTGTTCCGAAGGAGAATAAAAGGATCCACAAGGCAAGCCCCCTGAAGTTCTAGCAAGTTTTTTTTTTTAAATTTATCATTTCATTTTGCTAAAACCACACTGTCGGATGCAGTGATGTCATGCTTTATTACTTAGAGCCTGTTTTGTAAGGGTTATTCATCTAATGTTTCTAAATCTTCTAATTTTCTGATAGGGAAATGTGCTTGATCAAATCCATTTCAGCCAAATAAGTCAAAAATCACTTATTATGCCTTTTATTGTGCATATCTTAAGTTTTTATTTATAAACATAGCCTAACTTTCTGAAGTCTCCAAGCCTGCTAGCGATGCAAAAAGATAAAAAGTGTTTGGCGTATCTTATCCTTTTTTATGTTGGATTTCCACAGGAATAATGGCCTTAGCTACAATATGACTCCTGGTGATGAAGTTGAGGACATGTTCATCCTGTTGAGTGAAGTAAAAAGACAAATACCTGCTGCCTCAGCAGTGTGTTGTGGTGCAATTGCATCTGACTACCAGAGGCTCCGAGTCGAAAGTGTATGCTCAAGGTTAGGACTTGTTTCATTGGCATATTTATGGAAGCAAGATCAATCAATACTTCTCCAGGAAATGGTAACTTGGTTTATTGTAATTCACAATAATAACTCTGAAGTTGCCAGTGTTTATTGATATTTTGTGTTTCTTTCCGTTATATTTTTCAGATAAAAAATGGTATTTCTGCAATAATTGTCAAGGTAGAGATGCCCGTTCTCCCATTATTTCGTTTAATTCCCTTTTTTCTGTTTTGCATCATCTAGGCATTGTTTCTACTTTGAAGCATTTCACTTTTAGATAAACCCATATACAATTTTGCTGGAGACTTGATGCTTCAATCTGATCTTTTAGTCTGGATTTGGGGTGTGGGTGGGCCAAAAAAAATGGGGTGTGGGTGGGCCAATTAATGCAGATGTTGCTTCTGGTAGTTGGTAATTGTTGAGTTTAACTTGTGATGTGCATACTTGGCCCATTGATACAATCTACGTGTGTGAACTGTGAACTCGTGATATTCCGTATATTATTGCACTCTGGATGCATGTCTAAGTATTATATTCACGTCATTCTGGCATTCTGCATTGAAAGTTACCAATGTATTCAATACCATATTATGTTTCCGTATTCTTCTTGTTTCTCCAATAAGTGTTTCCTCTATCTTAAAGGTGGTGATTTGTTAACGTGATCAGATAGTCTTATTCTCAAATCTTTAACCCCAATGAAATGGACAAGCACAATGTTGATTCCCATAATTTATGTTAACTTTAAATGGTTTTTTACAGCTTTTAGCCTTTTATTACCAGGTGAATACTATATTAAGAAGAAATTGCCCTAAATAGGAGTAAAAACAATGTGAAATTCGAAGAAATTGCCCTAACTAGTACTCCAATTTGAATAGGTACTATGCTTTCGCCCCTCTATAGGAGTAATTACTGCCATGCTTGGAAAATATTGTCAATTATGAAATCGTTACTGCTATTAAATATTAATGCATGCATGGTAATGCCAAAATATGGCAATAAGATTTCAAGATGGTGGTATTTTACTCTATTTAGGGGTTGGGGGACTGGGAGGTTGGAATTTCATGTTGTTTTTACTCATATATATTGGGAAATTTCCCTATATAAAACTTGCATAGGTTAGGTGGTCCTAGTAGACCCATGTCCATTGCAAAAGCACTTAAGCAGGGGTGACGCATAATTTTTCTAAATGTTTTTATCCTGTTGCAACATAGTAAACTCAGATTCTCAGAAAATGAAATACCTCAACCTCTATCATTTCCACCCTTTAGATCTGCTTTTTAGAAAAAATTGTGTTATAACCCAGAAGCTGGTTTTCGTTTAAAAGAACTTAAAAGCAATGAGTTTGATGATGTTCATATTTAGATCAATGCTATCTTTTAGTATGGGCAATATTTTTAGTTCTTCATCTAGCTACTTTATGCAACCTTAGGTCTATATATGATTTACGAAGTTGAGGGAAGCATTGTTTTTCCACCTGCTAGGTTGCAGCTATTGGGTTAGACCCCTCAAAGCACTTGGGGAAAGAAATAGCATACCTGGAATCCCATTTTCACAATCTGAAAGAGTATGTTGGTCATTAGAAAGAGTAAAAGTTTAAAGTACCTTCTAATTTTTAAAAAGTTGATTTTTTTATTACCTTAAACATTTTAGGCTCTATGGAGTAAATGTTTGCGGTGAAGGTGGAGAATATGAAACATTGACTCTTGATTGCCCCCTCTTCAAGGTATGTATTTGTGTCTAATAATACAGTATTTTACATACATAAACACTACCATTAAGTGGGATTTTCATAAGATTTTCTTCAAGATAGGCCCTAACAAGCTAATACCCCCCCACCTGTGTTCTTATAAACTCTATCTGCATTTTGCAGAATGCTAGAATTGTGCTTGATGAATTTAAAGTTATTTTGCATTCTTCAGACTCCATAGCTCCCGTTGGGGTTCTTCATCCGCTTTCATTTCATTTGGAAAAGAAGACGGATTCAGTATCTTCAAGTGAGTCTATTGGAGACACTAGTCTTTGTACCGGAGATATCAACACAGTGTATGAAATAGCAGATGAACACCAACCAAATTGTGTAGCTACTAGTGAACTTATTGATGTGACAACCAAATCTGGTGCTACGATGGAGAATCTCAAATATTGTAATTCCCAAAAGGGTGATATATATTGTATTTCATGCTCCCTGCACCAATCTGAAACTTCAGCAAGTAAGATGCAAACAGACCTACATACTTTCTTTGTTAGGAAAAACATTTTAAAGGCTTGTTGACTATCAACATCAGTTGTCTGATGGGTTTGAGTTTAGTATGTAAGTGTGACGTAAACCTTACATCACCAGGATTTTTTGGTTTAAGTTCGTGGTAGTCGAAACCGCGATCTGGATCGTAGGATTGCCAAGTCTTTATTACTTCTTATCTGCTGCTGTTGATATTGTACGAAGGTGGAAGTATCGCAAAGTTTGTAAGATCGATTGGTTTGACAAACATATTCACTGACGCGGTAGGAACACATTGGAGTCTTGATCTCCGCTTTTTCAGCACGTTCTCTGAAATTATTAAACATATGGGAAAAATTGGTTAGTCGAAAGTCAGAAAAGTTGGAAAAGAGTGGAAGTGTTAAACCACAATTTTGTTTGTGTTTACGTAGAAAGTTGATTAGGTCATAAAAGTCGCAAATCCGGGAGGTCTCTCCATGCAGTTGTGTAGTATTTTAACTTTTAAACATGTCATTTGAGATTACCTTAACGATTTATATCGGATTCGTGATTATATTATATATTATATATATATTACATTCATACAACACACACACATATTACGTAGTATAATATTGTAATATACTCCCTCCATCCCTAACTTTGACAATTGACATCTTTCCTTTTTTGGTTGTCCCACTAATTTTGACACTTTCCATTTTAAATAAAGAATTTGTGGTTCCTATTAATTTTCTCTCCTCCGCACAAACCTCAAGCACAAACCTCAACCGCACATTTTTACTTTATTATTCTACGTATAACGTACTAACCGACTTTGGCAAAGTTATAAGGGACGGAGGGAGTGTATATACACACAAACAAAGTCTATGTGTGTGTGCTATGTACACACACATCTAAGATCTTACGATCTGTTTCATGATATGATGTTTTACGATATATGTTTCATTATATGAATATATGATCCTACGTAGGATCTGAAGTCTGACTACCTTGGATAAGTTGGCCCAATATAACTTGGTATCAGAGTCCTGAGGGAGATGAGGGTTTGGTCCGGGCTTCACTCGTTTGGGGTTGGTTTGTGCCTATTCATCCACCTCTTTAGTTATTCAACTTGCTTGGGTATGACTAGTATATTAGAGTGAAGTAAATTTCACCTCTTGAGTATTTTTTTGGGGATGAGTAAGGCCCGGTTAAAGCACCACTTCCTCTTTGTTTTTCTTATCTTTCTGGTTTTGTGATTACCTACTCGTTTGAATATTTTAATTTTAGTATTTTCAGTGCTGTGATTGCCAGATTTGCTGATGGATCTGGAGGTTGTTCTGATGAAAATTGAAACACAACTAGCTGAACATGGTTCTTCATGGGAGAATGTACTTTACGTCCATCTGTACATTGCTGATATGAATGAGTTTTGTTCAGCAAACGAAACATATGTGAGATTCATTACTCAAGAAAAGTGTCGTTATGGTGTACCTTCGAGGTCCACTGTCGAACTTCCTTTACTGCAAGTTGGTTTAGGGGGAGCATATATGGAAGTCCTGGTGGCAAGAGATCATAGCAAAAAGGTTTTGCATGTACAAAGCATATCTTGCTGGGCGCCTAGTTGTATTGGTCCATACAGTCAGGTTAATAGACCTTGGCATTTAATCTCCACTGTTTTTGGTTAATCATCTATCTTAGATTATTTCCCCCCATAGCCACCGTCTTTGAGGTTTACCCTTTACACCTTTGGTAGTGGTACTATGAATTTCATGTGAACCTTTCACCTGCAAGCATTTGCTCACTTCTTTCCCTACTTTTAAATTACGCATTTGAAGCTAACTTAGGTGCTTGGTCATTTTTTAGTGGCTGATTGACGAAGTGTTTTATGCATGTATGGTGTGTTTGGCAAGGGTTATTTTAATATACTCCCTCCGTCCCTAAATAAAAGCATCTGTTTCCTTTTCGGGCCGTCCCTAAATAAAAGTTCCCTTCCCTTTTTGGCAAACAAAACAGTGCAAAACAGTGCAAAACAGTGCCAAACAGTGTCCAAACAGTGCCAAACAGTACCAACCAAACCCACTTTCTTAAGATGTGTGTAAAATGAATGGATACTTTTATATAGGGACGGAGGGAGTATTATGTTGAGAGAATTCATATTGTATATGATTTTGTTGTAATAAATAAATGACCTGGATATTGAGTGTTATATTAATGTCATCTTATATGTGACTCCATTATAAGAAGTCACATATGGAGGGAGTCGCACAGAATTTTAAGGAGTCATATATATGACTATTATGGAGTCATATGGTATGTGTGGGTCATCATGGTCATTCATTATTATGGTGAGGTCCTTCTATAATAATTCCACAATTTAGAGGTTGGTGTTTGCTATGAAGCATTTATTGTTATTTTCCATCGCTTACCCCTTATGAATGTCGTGTTTATGTTTATTTTTTAAAAGTAGTCACTTTCTAAGCATAATAGAAGGTGAAAATTAGAATATATTTCGTACAAATAAATCTTTTCTATAAAAGTTCAAACAGAATAACCACTTCCTGGATTTGAATAACTTGGTGGACCAGAGGACGTATCTTTTATTTCAAAGAAATTATCATGTCGAAGCACACATTTCTTAAAATGAAAATATTCCCTCCGTCTGCACTTTGAAACTCCCCTCTAATACATACCCTTACCAATATTTTTTTTGGACGTGGGATTGGGGTTGCATATTTTTCTGTTTATTGATTGAACATCTTGGCTTGCTGCAGGCAACTTTGCACACTGATATACTCTACATGGCTGGTCAATTAGGGCTTGATCCGCCAACAATGTTACTTTGTAAAGGAGGGCCTACTGTAGAGCTTCAGCAAGCACTAGAAAACAGTGAAGCAATAGCAAGAAACTTCAACTGCTCAATATCAACATCAGCCATTTATTTCACCATCTACTGCTCAGCTTGCATTGAAGAATCAGACAGAACTGATATTGAGAATGAGATGATAATAATTCTTAGAGAAATGAAGTTGGGGCAGCTGGTTTCCTCAAAAATTTCGGAAACCTTGCACCCCATTTTCCTTTATGTCCTTGTTCCCAATCTTCCAAAAAGGTTAGCTTGACCTCAACTCATTTCTAAACAGTTTCTGATCTCTATCCCTGCTTTTGATGCCGAAAGGAAAGTTGTGTTTGCTAAGATGTTATTTGGCAATATGTTGTTTTCAATTTCTCTTTTCCTTTTCAACTTTCTGTAAATATAATCACTTGAATTAATTGACTATGTAGTCTTTCTGACTTTTTGTTTTGTTTTTGTTTCTGAGAACAAAACAAGAATGTGAATACAACTGAAAACATTAGATGGACAAAGTTTACAACACAGTTGGACATTTAGAAGTACTATATTTATAGTTATATTTCCAAAAATGTGTACTGCCCCCATCCCTTATAACTTTGCCATCCCTCCTCTTTTTGTTGTCCCAAAACATTGACATTTTCCCTTTTAATAAATGAATTTGCCTTTCCTATTATTTCTCTCTCCTCTGCACAAACTCGGCAAAGTTTTGAGGGACAGAGGGAATACTAAATTATCCCAGCAACCTACCGCACTCCTGCCCAGTGATCCTCACCCTGATGCCCTAGTCGCTGCTTCAGCGCCCAGTGATCGGCTTCCCCCGCCTTCATCAGTGACCCCCCACCCCAGTCACTTGCTGCCATAGGTGACCTCGACACCCACCAACCCCTCCTTTACCCAAAAGCCTCATCACTGCCCAAACAGCCTCAATCACCGCCCTCACCCATCCCCCGCCACTGCCCTAACCCATCCTCTGCTATCGCCCAAGTGACCTAACCTGCAGCCACCACAGTTCACCTGGCTCCTTCACCAACAATACACCCATCATTGCGGTTACCACTACACAACCTCGCTCCACCTCCCCAAACCATCAGCACTGCATTCATCGGTGCGGTACCCTAGACTTTCCCCGCCACTGCCTCCCTCCCTCCCCTGCTCCCCCACCATTACCCCCACCCCACCCTCTGTCCTAGCTACTGTCCAACCCCTGCTCCCACCCTTCCCCTGATCCCACGCCACTGCCCCCACCTCCCCCATTCCCCAACCTTCTGCCCTAGCCACTGTCCTAACCCCTGCCTGCACCCCTCCTCCCACCATCTCTCCCCTGCCACTGCCCAAAACCCCAGCCCCACCCCACCCACCTACTGCAACTTCCTCCACCCACTTCCTGCAACTTCCCTGAACCCCTGCACCCACACAATCCATCTTAACCCTAGCTGCTGGCAAGCCAACTACCTGCAGCCCTCGCCGCAGCCTACCTACCAACATGCAACCTTAGCCGCAACCTATCCACAGACCTTGCAACCTTAGCCGCAACCTGGGATTTGTCACTGTCAACATCGCTGCCTTTAGAAATCAATGATTTCACAATTTGATTATTTAAGGACTGAACTGTTGGGTAGAAGAAGAGAAGAAAAAGTAGAGGAGAGATGAGGAGTTTTTTCCTTGAGGGGTACATTCTAATCTTATTTCCAAAAGTAGGGTACTTTTAAACTTCTTTCCCAAATATGGACATTTTTTTCCTTGTCATCGAGCTGGTGTGTCATGTCAGAAACACCGGTTTAATTCTATTTCCACGTCACTTACTCGCCATGTCACAAATCTATGTCATCACATTTACATGTTCTTTAAAATATCAAAAATTTTGAAGCTAGTAGGAGTCGAACCCAGGCACTCCTACTCCAATAATAGGTGCTTCTTCCACTTCACCAAGCCACTTAGTTGTTACTTTGTTGTTATAATATATACTGAATCCCTTTTCCCTTAAAATGACATCAATAAGTTCACTATATTTTCAATATAATACAACAACAACAACATCCAAGCCTTAATCCCAAAAGAATGGGGTCGGCTAACATGAATCGATCTATGATATCGATGCCAAAAAGAGAAGGCGGACAAGAACAGGAAAAAAAGTAAGATAAAATGAATAAAATAAAGATACATAAATATAAGATAACAATAACACAAGAATATAACCAAGATAAAAGAAAAATAAATAAAAGAGCATAAAAAAGCTAGAAGATAAAAATAACATAAGAATATAAAAAGATAAGGAAGATAAACGATAAAAGAAACAAGAGAGGAAAGGTAGACAAAACATCAATCGTCCACATGGATGTGCGCCCTCCACTTTGCTCTCTCCAAATCCATACTCTCATCCAATCCAACAAGACGCATATCAGTTCTGATTACTCTAATCCAAGTCTGTTTGGGTCTTCCCCTCCCTCTCAATCGTCCCATAAAAAAACGCATATCTAATGATGATATTTTCAATATAATAATAATAAAAAAAATTATTTACCCAATAAAATAGAGTATTCATATTATCCACTAAGAGGTTCCAATAATATATATAGTAACATTCAAAATAGGATGGCCTCCCGCCTGGCCAACTTAATTTGTGACCAAAAATGATGTTTATGATCCAATTTTTTATGAAGTAGTATTTACTATTAGTCCCAATTGTTAGATCATAAAAATATTTTTTTTAGCTTAAATATGATTTTTATAATAAATTAATATTAACTGTTAGATATAACTTAGATAACTGTTACATAAAAATTTTATTATGAAAATCAGATTACACCGATATACGTGTAATATATATATATATATATATATATATATATATATATATATATATATATATATATTACACGTATATCGGTGTAATCTGATTTTCATAATAAAATTTTTGAGCTTAGAATATTTAAGCTCGGAAAATTTAAAATATTTAAAATGATTTGTAAATTTTCCAAGCTTAGAAGAAATTTATAATATGATTTAAATTTTTTAACTTATCTAACGGTTAATATTAATATATTATAAAAATCATATTTAAGCTTGGAAAATTTAATTACTTTGATGATCTAACAATTGGAACTAATAGTTGATAACAACATCCAAGCCTTAGTCCTAAAAGATATTGGGGAAGGAACTAATAGTTGATATAATGAATAAAATAATTTGAATCATAAACATCATATTCAGTCAAAAATAAAGTTGCACGTACGGGATATCCTTCAAGCTGGCCTGATTTGAGTGCTACTATATTATATATATATATATATATATATATATATATAGATTTAGGTTCATGTGAGAAAACCATCTTAGGAGAGAAATGAGAATAATTTATAGCCATTGGATCTAGGATTTTCTTAGCACTTCATTAAGGGCAAATAAGAGAATTTGGCAACATATTAAAATCACACGGTTACTTCTCTAAAATCTTGAAATTGTTTCCATAACTAACTCCCTATAATCTTGCATGACCAATCATCCTATTTGCTTTTATTGATTTACGATTCTTAACTGAGTTTTTATCAAATTTCTTTTATCTCATTTGATTCTTCCATACCTTCATCATTCTCAAGTTCGGTGTCACGGAGGAAGACATCCGTTTTTCATTTTTTGTAAAAAAAGCTCGATCATTTTATCACTTTATTTAAAATAAATCTTCTACTTTATTTTACAATGCATTTCCATTTATTATTATGCTTTATATTTTATTTAGAAATTGCATCAACATAACTCTGTATGTTGCACCTCTTTTGTATTATAACTGCACTGCAAAGCCCGTGTAAAAATTTAGAAAGTGTGAAGCAATAATGCACCCCTCTTTATATTTAAATGCACATGTTTAAAGTGCATTTCATTTTGGGTAAAAGTATTATTGTAAAATTTTAGAAAGTGTGGTATACTAGTGCACTTTTGTACACTTAAATGCACATGATAGCATGCTCATGTTTTTTTACACCCGTGTTTATTTATTTTCATTTTTTGAAATTATTTTGATTAGAAAGATGTATGGAAGTGCACAATGGTATGCGTAAAGTGCAGTAACTATTATAGTAAGTGCAAGCCAATGTCATAAATGTGCAATTTAATTACAAAGTGCAAATTAGTACAATAAAGATGCTATTTCTCTTTAAATTTTGTTTGTTGATGAATGGTGTTGATTTTTAAAATCAAGAGTTTTTTCAAAAAAATAAAAAAAAATAAAACTCATTTACATAACATTGCGATTAAAAGTGCAATTATTTAATATTGGAGTGCAAATCAACAAACTCATATTGATTGCACTATGGGAATATTGCATATATAAATAAACGGATATGACATGAATAATGATGCCCATTTTAAATATATTTTTCCCAATTGACTATTCAAATTATATGAGTGAGAATTAAAAAATGGAAAGAGAATTAAATAATAAAGAAATATTTATAAGAACTAATCTTGCTAATTGTGTGGGAGTTACTTCCGTATTAATGGTTATCCTAAAAAGTAGGATTACTTCCTATTTAGATCACTCGTGCATGATAACTAGTCTAATTAATTTTACCATTGCACCCATTAATTAATACCAAGGGTATCTTGCCTTTTTTACAACTTGATTAGTCCGAATTACATGGCTCTTTTTCTACAATTTCTAGGCCATTAGATTGAGAGGATGGAAGGTCGGATTTCATTCTCACTTCTCTCCTCGGACTCCATTCTCACCGGAACCTTCCCCTATATATATATATATATTAATGGAGCCTTCTAGTGATAATAGAACACCCTATCTTATAGGATAAATGATCATCATTTTATAGGACAGCAATTAGGCCTGCATTACTGTATGGCGTAGAGTGTTGGGCGGTGAAACAATGTCACATTCAAAAGATGAGTGTGGCAGAGATGCGCATGCTGCGTTGGATGTGTGGGCATACTAGGAAAGACCGCGTGAGGAATGAGACAATCAGACAAAGGGTGGGAGTAGCACCTATTGAAGACAAGATGCGGGAGTCGCGCCTACGGTGGTTTGGTCATGTGCGTAGAAGACCGAGTGATGCACCTGTTAGGCGAGTTGAGATGTGTGGAGAAGAGGCAGGGAAGAGAGGGAGAGGAAGACCCAAACAGACGTGGGTTAGGGGAGTTCGAAGTGATATGCTTCTTCTGGGGTTGGATGAGGGCATGACTTTGGAGAGAACTAAGTGGAGGGCGGGTATTCACGTGAAGGAGTGATCTTGATAATCTTTTTCCCTCATCTTTTTTTTCCTAGTTTTTTTATCCTTATATATATGCATTATTTGCAGCCTTTTTATTTTATCATTTTTATATATATTCATCTTTTTTATATTATCTTTTTATAATAGCTTATCTTTTTATCTTTATTCCTTCTTTTCCTTTTGGTTGTGATATCATGTATCGATTCATGTTAGCCGACCCCAATATCTTTTGGGACTAAGACTTGGATGTTGTTGTTGTTGTATTGAAAATATAGTGAACTTATTGATGTCATATTAAAGGGAAAAGTGAATAAGTATATATTAAAACAACTAAGTATTTTATACCTGAAAACAGGCCTATGGAATACCTTTTGTATTTTATAAATATATATAAAACTAATTATAACTAAAATTGATACAAAATGACTTCTCTAACATCTTTTGTGCTTTAGATTATTTCAAAAGGGAAAACAGTAAGCATAAATAAAAATCGGAAAACAATACAATACAAACCCTAAGTTACCCTAATGTACTATGCAAGTCAGATATGTGTGCGATGAGGCAATTGCTCGCTAATGTTTCATTGAGTTCAGAAATGATTCAATTGTTTATTTTCATTTTATATCTTCTGCTGATGGCAATTCCTTGTGTAGAGCTCTGGTAGAAGTGAAGCCGATGCTTTACCTGGCAGCAGAACGTACACAAGCTTCACCTAAGGAACATACGAAAGATCCACCCATTATGCAAGATTGCTGGGGGTTTCAGTATGAAACATGGCATGATAAATGCCTTCAGAAATGTAGCATTGGGGGAGAAATGTGTGCTGCTGTTCTGTCTGTTACAGAAGAACTTGCTCAAACCATATTTTTGAAGTCCATACCAAAAATCGGCTGTGATGTGGGCTTTACAGTCCTTGTAAATGAAGATCAATTGTTGAGAGTTGCACAGTTTTGCATCCATCGCCTTGATAAAATTCTCCTAGAAAATGCTCTTTCTTGGGATGACATGTTGGTTAGTTATTCTTTATTTGACTGAAACACCTCCTTGACTATGACCCTCTCACAATTCACTTTATTTAGAGCACATCTAGTGAGGTAAACTTTGCTGAAATAACTATGTGAACTGAATTTGCTGAAGATGTAGCAGAAACGATTAAATCATTTATATCGTTGTGTGTAATGTAGTTTTTAATACAAAGTAAAGTAAGGGATGTATTATATGAAAGATGAGGTTAGAAGTGGCATTTACCTTGTAACCCTTTTGAGCATCAGAAAAGTACTCCCTCTATCCCTAAATTATACAAACTTGCCTCTTTGTTATGTCCCTAAAGTACCCATCATTTTTAAGGAAAACATTTTGTGGTTCAACAACACAGTTTTCACTTTCTGCACCCGGTCAAATTGTTGGCTCATTTAAGGATGGATTGATTAATTTTTGCACTATTTGTTTACTAGCCTATATACATTTAGACAAGAGCCAGTTTGGTAATTATTATTTGTCTGAATCTGTCTGAAAGCAGAAGCATTTAGTATCATCATTTAAGCGAAATAAGCGAGTCAACTTATTCTGTTGATTACTTCCTACCACCAAACAGAGCTTAATATATTGTTTGTTAAAAGTTTGACGAGCAGACTAATAAGCAAAGAAAGTGCAGCCAATGGGCTCACATCTTTGATACTTTTCTGTATGCTCATACCATTCCTTTCCTTTTTGCAGAGTTTCAGAATCTACTTTGCAACAAATCTAAACATCTCACACGGAACCGTCTCTCAGATATTTGCGTCTGTATTTAGTGATTTGGCCCGAACATGGCAGAGAAATAGGATCTCGAGTGAACCAATCTTCAGTGTTGTTCCTGTGGTAGGTATTGGAAGCTCCGCGTCCTCCATGGATGATTTAATCAGTTGTGAGCTCATTTCTAGAAAACTCTAGAGGTCTACCTTGTGTTGTCATCCTATTCAATTGTACTTGATATACGTATAATAAGGTAATTTATGATTCAGAGTTCAGACTAATGCGAGCACTCAAGTAGTCAAGTTTTCTAAGTGCCCGGTCTGGTAATCCTTATTTTTGGCATAGGTTAAGAAACAAACTCTTGTCACCTCATTGGGTGTGCATAGAGCTGTAAACGAATCTAATTAGTTCAAATATTTTTCTTTTAGTCGGAATTCGATAATTTTACACAACATTTAATTTGTATTTACATAAAATTCGAACTTAAAGTATTTATATTTGTTTTGGCTACGTATTCAAATTGGGAGTGGACTCGGGCCGGTTCGGGCCCGGTTCGGGCCTGGGCCCGGCCGGGCCTCGGTTCAAGAAGGGGAGGCCCGGAACCGGACCGGGTAAACCTTGGGTCCGGGCCGGGCCTCGGGTTTTTTTTTTTTGGGGCTTTTCCTAGTTAACCCCCACCCCTCCCCCTTACCCCCAAACCAACCCTAACCACCTCAAATGGCCCAAAATAATCAGCCCAACCCAAAAACTCAAAACAAATTCAAAAAAAAAATTAAAATTGGCCCGGCCCGGGCCCGAACCGGCCGGGCCGGTTCACCTTTTGAAGGGCCCGAGCCCGAACCGAGAATCCACCGGACCGGGTGGCCCGAACCGCCCAACGAACCGGTTCCCGGGCCGGTCCGGGCCCGCACAGTGGCGGAACGGTCCGGTTCCGGGCCGGTTGGCCCGGCCCGAGTCCACCCCTAATTCAAATACTTTTGAATGTCACTGCAATTTTAAATAATAGTAGAAATTTAGAATAAAAATACTACGATGTAATAATTAATTATCGTAGCATCTTATTTCTTTCTAACATCTTTCTTATTTACTTTGCTCCCCCCTCTGTGAATTATCAATAATAGTAGTATTGTTCCAAAAAGGTGGAATCTCCCACCCCAGGAGCCTCCACCCCGACCCGACAGGATGGTGGGGAGGTTAGTCACGGTGACTCGGTCAGCAGAATGACAGTAGGTTCATACACCCATGCGCACCAGAGGCCCATCATATTTCAGGTTCTGTGATCTCCACCCGGTCGCTGCGGGGATTTGAACCTTGGTCCATTGTTCCAAATCTTCCATCACTCGACCAACTGAGCTACCCGTGTGAGTTCAATAATAGTAGTATAGTACTATAGAAGTATATAGTATAGTACTATCTTCGTAAGGTAAAGATCTTCTCACTTTTCTTTTTCAACCGTAACTATATAATCTTCTCATTTCTAAATTTTCTCATCATACCCTCAATAATTTTAAAAATAATACACTATTACATCTACTTTTTTTGGATTTATGTTTCATTCCATCACATTATTTCATTATCTTCTCATCATAGTCTCAATAATTTATATCTTCTTTCACTATTTATAATCTCATCCACTTTCAAAGTGGGAACATCTCAACATTATGGAGCCATGGAGGTAGTATATATAAAAAACTGTTTTTTCCCAAAAAAAAACTGTTTTAGACAGTTGTTATATCGTGGGAGCAGCCCACCGTAGGGTTGGACTCGGGCCGGGTGGCCCGACCCGGAACCGGCCCGGGACCGGCACTGTTCCGGCCCGGCCCGAACCGGTGGCCCGGTTAGTGACCGGTCCGGGTAGGCCCGACCCGGTGGGTTTCCGGTCCGGGCTCGGGTCACCCATAACAAGGCCCGGGCCCGGTTCGGGCCATTTTTTTTTTTTTTTTTGGTTTTTTTCATTTGTTTGGGCTCCACCGGGTTGGGCTTGATGTTTAGGAGGGGTTTGGGGGGTGGGGGGGTGAGGGGGGGGGGTCAGGGATGGGTAGCTAAGCAAAAAAAAAAAAAATTTAACCAAACCCGAGGCCCGGCCCGGACCGGACCGGACCCGGTGGCTACCCGGGCCGGTCCCGGGTCCAGCTATATAGGACCGCCGGCCCGGGCCCGACCCGGCCCGAGTCCAACACTAGCCCACCGTGACCGTGAGCATGCTGCTCCCACAGACAAAAATACGCGTGTTACTGTTCACGCGTGAACAGTAACTTATTTTTTGTTTTTCCAGTGTCCAGTAGTAGAGTAATGTAACTCGCGTGTAAAGAAATGTAACTCACGCTGATCAGAAATGTAACTGCAGGCAAGTCCAAATGTAACTTGTCTAATACGAACTATAAGAAATAAAACATTGATTTCCTTGAAACAAGGAGTCTAATTGCTCAATTACTTTACGTAAATAGTGAATATGTTTTGTTTTTAATATTAAGACCATAAATAATTTTTTCCCTTAAAATCAGTTTTTTTTTTGCCAAAAAATCATTTTTTTTGCAAAAAAATCATTTTTCCGCCATTTTTTTCCCTTGCAAAAAACTCGTTTTTTTGTTTCAATAGCATGTGTTTACTTAAATAGTGAATATGTTCTGCCAAAAAATATTTTTTTTAAATCACTTTTTTGCTAAAGAAATCATTTTTTGCATTGTTTGGCAAAAAATGATTTTTTTTTGTTTCAATAGTAGGGTTGCGATGTAACTTATGTTATAGAAAATGTAACTCACGTTGATGAAAAATCTAACTTAGGTCAATGTAAAATATAACTTGTTAAGGTAAGTCCAAATGTAACTCGTGTAAAGGAAGATGTATCTCACGCATAAAAAGATGTAACCTGCACATAAGAAGATGTAACTTCATATACTATCAAATGTAAACAATGAAAACATTAAGTCTAATTGCTTAATTTTTTTTAACGTAAATAGTTAGTATGTTTTGTTTTTTGTATTAAGGCCATAAAAATGTTTCAAAGAAAAATAATATTTTTTGCCACAAATATTATTTTTTTTGCTGCAAAATCATTTTTTTCCAAAAAAAAATCATTTTTGTTTGCAAAAAAAATTATTTTTTGGTTTCAATGGATGGATTTATTTCGTGATGTAACTCGTGTTATGAAAACATGTAACTCATGCTAAAAAATCTAAATTAGGTGTATGCAAAATATAGCTTGTTGAGGCAAGTCTAAATGTAACTCGTGTATAAGATGTAACTCATGGACAACAAGATGTAATTCGCCTATAAAAAGATGTAACTTCATATAATATCACATGTAATTCCATAAATTGGCTATGAACATAACTCACACATATGAAAAACGTAATATAATTCATGTTTTATGAAATTTAAATCGAAAAAACAAATTTTATGTCTTAAAAAACTAAAAACATATCAAAGAGATAAGAAATATATATTTTTTATAAAGAGATAAAGAAATATATTATAGAAAAAAAATTATGAACATGAAGATAAAGAATTTTTTAGATGAATTATTATGTATTGATAAAGAATAAAAAATAGATTCAATTATAATTTAAAATGAAGATAAAGAAAGTAGGATTGCAATTAAATTTTTAGTATTTTAATTTGATGGAAAAAGAAAAGAATTGAACAAAAGAAAAAAAAAGAAAAGCAAAGGAAAAGGAAATAACAAAGTTGGAGACAAAGGAAGTGGGAAAAGGAAAGAAACGTAACTTTCCTAAAAGTGGGATCGACACACCATGCGGAAGGTGGGCCGATCCCACGGTATAATTTGCGGTTTTAGAAGTTTAGAATAAAAAAACATATGAACTATTAAGCCGTTGAAAATAACTATACGTAATTACGTACAACATTAAAACTCCAAAAGCAGCAAGTTAAAAATGAAATGGTAGAGTTTCAAAACTTCAATGTTTAGGAGGACGTATATGTGTAGAATAAAGATCAAATGATAATGTGATCAAATGAGAGAAATGATAATAAATTTGGTCTGATAGATTTTAGATTTGGTTTGTTAGATTTTAGAAATTGTGCATTATTCGAGACATAAATGTGTACAATAATGAATTAGGAAATGCGGAAACTATTTTGTAAATAAATTAATCTTTTCTTATCATTATGAACTGTGGATTGTCACGAGTTAGAATGTGCACCATTTGGATCATTGATTTAATATCAAAGGATGACGCGATCTAATGAGGGAAGTGATGATGAATTTGGTTTGTTAGTTTGAAGATTATGCATTACTTAAAACACAAATGTACATTATCATGAATTAATAAATGTGATGCCGCTCTTATAAATAAATATTGTCTAAGCTATTTTTCGTAAGCTAAACTAGGTCTGACATTTTGAACCGAAAAACCGAAAACCGAAAATAACCGAACCGCATTGAAAGAAAATCGAACCGGACTGAATCGATAAATTTTGGGACCCGAAAATTGGGACCCGACAAAAAATTGGTTTGGTATCGGTTTGTATATTCAAAATATCGGTTTGGATCGAACCGAACCGATTTTTATTATTAATAATAGTAATTTTTATTTTTAATATTTATATAGTTAATGACGTGCAGAGAAGGTATAATAAAGGTCGGAGTCACATTCAAACATATTGGAAGCTTTGGTAGGATGGGTCATGCAAATCGTGAGTTTAGTGAGCGTCATGAGTTCGATTCCAGCCACGCCGCTTAGTGTATTTTTATCATTTCAGTTTTAGATTTTATTTTTCTCTCCCATCCTACTTTGTCCCTCACCGGAAGAAAAAGAATACTTTTTGTCCTCCCACACATCTATATAACAAGGCATTAGCTCACACACAATGTTGTGACCGAATGAGGTTACACACTACTCAAGTTGCGTAGTTGAGTGGTCCTTAGTGGGCTCAAAATCCTTAACCAAGGTGTATTTGGCTTGAACCATTGAATTGTAGTGTAATTTTCTTTTATTTTCTTTTATTTTAATGCAACTCTCGTTTTTTTTCCGGTTTTTAATTAACCGAACTGAAAAATCGATTCCCAAAAAATTGGTACCTGTTCCACTATTGGTTCGGTGTCGGTTCGGGTAGTTTGGATAACTGATATATCGGTTCGGTTTGAACTTACACAAGATTAGTTTGGGACCTGAATTGAATACAGTCCTAAGCTAAACTATGTGAATATGATTTGTATATTCAGAAACTACAAATCAATGGATAATTGTGCAAAAGTATCAAAGAAATACTAACAAAATAATGAGTTGATGAATAAAGTAATGATTCCATATGTAATCTCTATATTCGAATAAAAAGTCTCGTTTACACATAAGCTATGCTATTTAAAGTAATCAAAGATACGTTGAGCTGCTTTCCTCAACTTTAATGAGTCCGTCTAGTCAGGCGAAGCATTAGGAGTTCTTTTGTAACCATTTGCTACATGTACGCAACTTTTATTTATTCTTCCATTACCATGACATGTCATAATGCCAATTAATATACTAACGAC